CACATTTCACTAGGCATTTTGATATCTAGTGCCCCATTAGGTTATCATAATTAACCGTTCACTTATCCCAATGAGATTAAGTACCTTTGAAATGAGTTTTGATTTATTTACCATGATCTTCCCCTCCAGGACTAATGGAACATAAGAATTCAGTAAACTATGCCTTTGGCTATACAAATCCCAATGACTAAGAGTCCTAAAATTATTTGCCCTTCATCTTTATCAGTAAGTGCTTTTATTTAGGTAAATTCCCGCTACAAGTTCTTTCTAATATGGCTCAGTTCTGCCTACTCCCTACTTGTTCTAAACTTTCATCTTAGACAACCAACTTTGTCCTACAATACTTCCAGTGACCTAGCCAATTCTTGAGGTACCACAATTCCCTCCTTCAAAGTTTCCTCCAGAGAAATCATGCTAATTAAGAAGATAAAAGCACCTAACTACAAAGTCTCAGTTTGTCTCTTTCAATTAAAGAACAATTCATGGGAAGAAATTTTTCTCCATGTTTTAGCTAATTAGAATCAATGTAGTAGATGAAATTTCAATAACTCCTTGTTGACCTTCTAACTTCTAATCTAGTCATCTTGCACTCCACAGCTAAACACAGTATGAATATTTTTAGAGCAATATTACTTCTAATCAGTGTTTTAAAAGAAAACATCTTATTGTCTCTTTTTGAAGAATTCAAAGCAGGATATTTCACTTTAATTATATAACAAACTATTTCACAAAGGAAGCTATATTGCTTATACTTGTAAGTGGTTTGAGAGACTATCTCTAGCTTATGCCAGAAACACTAGCTCACATAACTTCCATTCCTGTCTTTATGGGGTTTCTTAGTTATTAAACTTGAAATTCTAAGGCTGGTATATTTTTATTGAGAATATGCTATGAGCCACTCATCAATAATCAGAAAAATCCACAATTCTATGAACCAAAAAGCCAAAGGCTCAAATAAAGCCATTCTCTCATTACATGGAATTGAATAGTTCTATGTAAGTAATGCAAAACGTATCTCTAAGTACCTACTGTGTCTTAGCTGGTCTTCACATCCTCCTTCTGATGAGGAGCTACATTTTTCTAGCTAATTCAGATATCTTGGTAGATTTGCAATGTTGCTCCCAATAGCAGATCACTGAGAAATTGTTTGCTATAGGCATCCTACAAATGAACTGACTTCAAGAAAATCTAAATTGTGTTCAAAATTAAAAATACTCATAAAACTAATGTCTTCTCCTCTGATATAGAAATTCAAACACAAAAACTGTGTGAGTTCAACAACTGTGTAACACATCTCACATTTTCATGCAGCAACAGCAGTGGCAAAAGTCAGAGCAAAACTAGGGAGAAAGTTTAATGCCCTGAATAATAAACTATAATACTCTGAGGACACAGATTTTCAGGTTTAAAAAAAAAGTCAAATAGAAGATCTTTAATGACCTCTTCTTGAGGGAGAGTAATTTCTCACAGCCATCCTATTAAAAATTATTTTTAGGTACATGTGGTCTCTACTGAAAAAAAGGACATTAATGTTATTCACCTTTATCAAGATATTAGTCAATTTCTTGCCTTAAAGGATGATACCTTTAACACATTCCTGACAGCTTGAATCACCAGTATACATGTATGACTGTCCCATCAGGCAGCATGGGACAGTCCCATTGGGTGGTACAAACTGCCCAATAGGACAGTCATGCATGTACAACCCTGTTGTGAGTGTGTACACCTATCTATAATAGAACAGACTTTCTAAATGACCTTATCCATTTAGTCCTAAATTTAGAGAACATAAATACTGATGGACTTCATAACTATTCTGTAAAGAAGAAAATAAACTCATACTTGGTCAGTTAGCTAGAATCCTTAAAACTAGAGGCTGTTAAATTTTGCATGTTCCAATGCAACCAGGCCCTGGATTTAGTTTCAGATACATCTTTGCTACTTCCTGAGGCAGGATTGATGGTTAGATTTGTCCAGTGTCAATGGGCATTACATAGGAACAGTGTGTGTTATCATTTGTAAAAATTGTATATCACCCAAGACTAGGAGGTTGACTTCAATATATACCCATAGTACACTTTTAAAAAGAAAATTGTGGGGCTGGAGATGTAGGTAAAGTACTTGCCTCACATGTGTGACACCTTGGGTTCTACAACCAGTACAAGAAAAAAAAAAAGAACCTGCATCTATTATTAAGTTCTTTTCCTTGTTTGAAAGGTGTAGAAGAAAGATTCATCCCTTAGTCCTCTGGTGCATAAGGGAAGCCTTTGGCTCCAGAATCTGTAGGGATTTTAGTGAAAGGACCCCTGTCTATAATGAACTGCACAAAAAATCATTTTACTAGCTTCACATCTGGGACTAAACTTTCATAAATGCTAATGAATGAAGGACAATCATTTTTCACTTTTCAACTTCAGAGATGGGAGCAAGGAAAAAATAGAAGCTTTGAGTTCCACTGGTGATTCCATGAAGAGAAACTATGTGAGCTCAAACTCAGATCTCGTTAATTAGTGAAGGTCAAGGGGACTTGCAAACCCCATGAAATACAATTTCTCAATACAGATTTGCTGAAGTATGTTTAAAATATTCTTCAAAAGAAAATGCAACACAAATAGAACCACTATACATAGCGTGCAAATAATTCTTTCTGCATAAAATAACATTAACAAAAGTTGATGGCTGGAGAGGATTATGATAAGAGTGGCCAAACAGAAGGGAAGACTGAAAAGAACTGCTCCAAAGGACCCCTAATTTCCTCAGCTAGGGGAAACTTAGGAGGTATTTTACTGCTCCCACACCTATTTTCTTATATTGTGAAATAATGAACAAACATAGAAACTAAAACCACACAGATAAGCATGAACCAACTCTAGCCTATTAGTCCTTTCTTCCTATTCTACATACACCATGAACAGAAGTAGACAGACTTAAAAAGAAAAGACCAACTGTGCATTCAAATCATTTCCACTGCCCAGACCTGTGGGAAAAGTTTTGTTCTAATATTACAATTGCTATTGTCCTGGAGAGGAAGACAAAGAGATGGGGGATGGGGAAAATAAACCTTTCCAGTACTTCAAGTTTAAGTGGAATATCATTTTGTATTATGTTTCTTCAATAAAGCTGACTACATTTGGACACAATAAGATCCCTATTAAGCCACAAATAGTCTCATACAAAACAAATAAATCTAAAGGGGCAAAACATTTTAAAAATGATCTCTGAACAACACCTGTATATCAATAACAACATTCTTTATGTGTGTATATAGCCTCTCTCTCTCTCCTCATATATAATAAGCAAACCAAGGTATAAGAAAGAAAAGATAGATAGTATCTTGATTTTTGTTTGTTTGTTTGGTTTTTAGTTAGGATTTTACTTGAATTAAGCTATAATAATATAGATGACCTTGGAAACACTTCATTCATTTTTTTCCTTTAAGACTCTGTCGTGGACATTATGACATAACCAAGGGAAGAAAATGGATTCTGGTCCAATAGGTTACATTTGCTAGTAAGTGCTTTATTAGCAACAATCAACCTGTACTAAGACAGAAAGTGAAAATATGCCTTAAAAAGTAAGGCAAGGATAAGGAGCTATGAGTGATATGTCAAGTTCGAGTGATAATAGGTAAAATCTTACACACAAATACAGATGAAAGAGAGTCAATTATGTTAAAGTGATTCAAATACATAAATCTGTAAGAGGAAAAATAGTCACTATATTGTCACACCTTCACCATTCCAGAATCCTTTGAATGTTAGCATTGTTCTTCTGTTTTATGTCTTGTGACCAACTTTTGTGATAGGCTTATTAATATACCATCAATTGAAAGGTAACAGTATTTGTTAGCTATTTCAATTAACAAGTATTTCTACTTCAAAAATCAAGTATTCACCACACTCCAAGCCCCACCCAGTATAGTAATACCTCGGTTCACAAATACTTCTGTTTTTAAACTATTTGGTTCACAAACAAAAGCATTTGGCAAAATTTTGCTTCCATTCACAAACTCTGCATTGGGTAACAAACATGACCACGGCCATCTTCCCCACAGAAACACAAACACCACCATATTTCTCAAAAATCGTAAAATAAAATAAGTTCATATACCAAGGTACCATTGTATTTATTGCTTTGAAAAATAAGCATGTACTTTATTGCCTGGATTTTATACTTAATGAGAGTAGAGAAAATATATTTTAATTCCGAGAAACAACTGAATGAGAACCCAGTAGAATGTCCCACCATAATCTTTTGTTTCCATATAATAACACATTTATCTCTGTGTTACTGGAATGACTATAGACAGAAAATAAATTCTTAAAATCAAATGTATGGTTTGTAAATATACTTAGAATATATTATCAAACTGAAAGACATATATTTCCAAGTGTTATAAAATAATGGTTAAGCTTTGATTGGGATATCTACCATCTATAGCTAATTTCTTAATATGAACATGGCAGCCTGCCAGACTATCATGTTCTAGGAATAGATATTTATTCTCAAGAAATTTCTCTTCAGGCAAAATAGCTAATATTTAAAACATGAAGGTTTAAAAACTTTGCCTGTTAGGGATTTGGCACAAATATGAAGAACTAAAACTCACTGATGTTTATAAAAATATTTGTTTAAAATACAATCTTGCACACTCAATTAGGAGGCAAAGGATATGTATCTTTAAAGCATTCCTGTCTTCTCATTTATAAATGTTTACTCCCATGTGTTATTCACTAGCAAACATAAACACCTCTAAGTAAGACTTTAGCATTTCATTGTCACTGAGAACATGATATTCATTGAAGTTCAGCAAAATTCCACTGGTTCTCTAACACTTTTTCAGTGATAGGCTAAAACCTCACTTTAATTTGGCTACTTTCCAGTACAACTGGAATACAAGTACTTCTGTTTAAAGATATTCCTAGCAGAAAGCACAGATGTCCCCTAAATGCTAAAAAACTGCAAATTTTAGACCAAAATAGAAGTTTCCAGCAACTTACCAGAATTTCTCTTTGACACAATCTTCAAATTTGTGCAGACTACAGAACAGACCACAAGAACCAAAAGAATTGCCAGCTTCATTGTTAACTTTCTTTCACAGCTGAAAAGTCAAGAAAAAGGGTGATGAGGTTTGAAACACAGATCTTGGCTTTAATTAAACAGCAACTACTGATTGAGGATTCCTAATTTGAAAATCCAAAATCTGAAATTCTCTGATGTCCTATTAGGAATGCTCAAATAGTACTGTCTATGTAAATATTCCAAAATCTGAGCTGTGTCCTATCTCCTGCTGTCATGAACACTGTTTGTGCCCGATGCATGTCCTCCTGGCCCACCCTAAAGTTGATCTATGGAAGTCGTTTATATTTTTCTGCCAAAGAGGATTTCTGTTCACAAAAGCACCTTAACCACTATAGGAGGCAGATTAGAAGTGTCAGGTTAGCATGTAATAAGTAATTTTTAATCAATTATAGGGGTTAGTGTATGAATGTACTAGTTCTTTCACCCCTTGATATATTTCAGAGGATTAAGTGGCAACCTGCTCATTAATACACTTTATGTGCGCATCTTCCCTTTCAGTCTGCTTGTGTCACTCTCTTGCAGTACTTGTCGTAGAATCTGGTTTTTTGAAGAACCCAAGGCAAAACTCTGAAAAGACCATCAAGCATTCCGCACAATTGTTTTCCACAGACTTTACCTCCCAAATTTTCAGCTCAGTAGATTATACAGACTCTACAAGAACCTCTCTACTCTACTCTAGCTCTCATCATGTCATTCTATTCATGACTTGTATTATTGTTGTTAACAATATTGCTTCATTCTTGATTTAGTTCTTCCCACTATACTGACTTATTTACCAACTCAATCATGTTGGTTAGATTTTAGGAGTTTGCCATGGTTTTCTTGCTCCAAACCTATTCTAACCATGATTATACCTTCGCTATTTTGTCTAAAAGCTGATTGTCTGCAAGGACTATAATTTAACAAGATAGAATACCATTTCAGGTTTCAGATATTTTCTAAATAGTGACTTAAAAAGATGAATCGAGAAGACCCTTTAAAAATTCTGTTTACTCATGTTTACTATGTGATCATTTTTACCCAAAATATAACCTGCTTTATAACTGATATTTAGAGATATTAAGTGTAGAAAACAATTGACCCAGAAACATTACTTCTTCCCTATTAAACTGACCTTTCCCTATTCTTTGTGAAATAAAGTATTTAATATTTGACTTTGACTAAAGAAATAATCAGTGGAATTGAATAAGTTAATCACAAAATTATTTCATACGTTCTTCTTCCTGTCAGTGAAAATCAGTGGGGGATTAGAAAAACTGACCAAATGAACATTTTTTTGTCCAAATGAACTTTTTGATTCCATATATTTACCAATTGTATTTTGACATGAGAATCAATTAATTCAAACAATGCTGAACTGCATTTTATGATAATAATTCATTGAGTATTTTGTGTGTTCCAGACACCATGGTAAAGTGACATATGACATTTATATCCTCTCAAAAATCTTATAAGGTGTTACGCCCATTTGGTTTTTTAAAAAACTTATACTTATGACTTACCTAAGGTTATGATATTAGTGAATTATAGAAAAAAAGGACTTGAATTTATGTTTGTATGACAAAATGTCCAGTCTTATAAGCACTACTAAATTATTTTTGCCCTAAAAGGTAGATGATATAGGAGTAATAAACTATGTCTAAGGTTATAAAATGTGGTTCCTTGCCTTCAAGGAGCTAAAACTCAGCTGCAGAGATACATGCATACTAGAATGCCTAGTCAAGTACAAGACACTGACCAACTTATACATACATGTTAAGTGGTAAGGGAATACAAAGAAAAGTGTCTTGTAACATGTTCAATAGATAATTCAGATTTCCCCTTTAAAGACAAACTGCCAAGCTCCCAATTCACACAGTCAAAGAGAAAGGCCAGCACCATCAATCGTCTATCAGTGTTCATTTGCAACACCAGTCAGCATGAAATATCATTACTGATCAAACAATGTCTTAGGATTGTGGCCACTGGGCTTCCGATATATGGTTTCACACATCTGTTTAAATAATAAAAGTGTCAGAAGAACCTCAAGTTATATCTGGGAAAACTTACACTGAAATTTATGTTACTACATTATAACTTTTTCCTTTTGGTGATTTTACATCGAACTTACTGTTTTGTGAAGAAAGTGTATAGGACCATGCATAATACCTATGATGGTGTCAACTATGGTGCTATTCAATTATTTCAAAATTACTATTTCCAAAAAGAGTCCCCTGCTACTATGAATATGAATATGCACTAGTTCTCACCACTGAAGTTCATATTCCCCTGAGACCCTTGTGTTTACTGATTCCCTGGGGTCAGTATGCAAAAATTTCCCAAAGGCTACATGAGGAGACTGAAGGAATGAAGATACCAGAACAATGGCTAATGAAGACATTAGTATTCCTTCCCTTGGAGTATCAAATTCTCATGTAAGTAGTGCTATCTTACCTAGAGAGTTTTTAGAAATGTAATTAAACTAAAAGTTTAACAGATCATTATAATGATAAGGTTGTGCTCAAATGACTTTCAGTTATTTAGCAAATTATCTTCTCGACTTTATTCTCTCCCTGCCTTAAAAACCTAGGTATAGCAGGTTATTGGCTTATGCTAAATATTTATATGGGAAATCTCTTGACTATAGAAACCTGAATAAGTTTAACTTCTAGATATATCTATACATAATTAGTAGACTTAATTAAAATATTAACTAGCTACAGAGAGAAATGAATATCATTTGTCATTACATTTTTATCATCAGAGAAAACTATAGCATCTTTACAATGCTTTCTAATCCTACATCACACACATACACACACACACATATATATATACAATATATACACACACAGATATACATACATAGAGGACATTATGGAGTCAACACACATTTATCTCAATCTCTTATAATATCAAATTCCATAGTTGTCTACAATGAAGTCTGGTATTCACACAGAGATGATCATACCATCCTGTTTGATCTCCAATCAGAAAATAAAGATGTATACAGCCTTTGACAAAATTCAAAATCCCTTCATGTTAAAAGCTCTGAAGAAATTAAGTATAGAAGGATCATACCTCAACAGCGTAAAGACTATATATGATAAAACCATAGCCAACATTCTATTTAATGTGGAAAAACTGTTATCAGTTCATCTAAAATCAAAAATAGGAAAAGGCTGTCCATTCTCACTATTCCACTGTTGGTGGGAATGTAAATTATTTCAGCCACTATGGAAATCAGTGGGGAATTTCCTCCAAAAACTGAATATATACCCACCATATGACCCAGTGTTATAGCTTGTATCTAGATGAGCCTTAAACCCTCATGTTGTCATAGGTGGGGAGTTTTGAATGTAGCTGGTTTAGGATGTGTGAATGTGGATTAAGGCTGTGTGTGTGTGTGTAAGGCTATATGTGAATGTGGATTAAGAATGTAGGATGTGTGATTCTGGGATTAAGGGTGCCACACCCCAGGTGTGGATGGCACCAATCAATAGGTTTACAGCCTAGATAAAATATAAAGCAAGAGAGGGAAGGTTGCTTGGGCTCCTTCTGTAACTGGTTGCTGCTTGTGTTGCTTGCTGTTTGCTGTTTTTCTGCCTTCTGCTTACCACACCATGAACTTTTTCTTCCTCCGATGCCACTCTGTCATTTCAACCTGCCTTGGAGCCAGCCAACTACGGGCTGAAACCTCTAAAAAATGTGCATGAAAATAAACCTTTCTTCCTTGAAGTTTGGGTGTTGAGTATTTTGTCTCAGTAACTAGAAAGGTAACCAAGACAGATTTTGGTACTAGAGAAGTGGGGTCATTGCTCTGACATTACCTGGCCATGTGGTTCAGGAGTTTCTGGAACTAGCTTTCAGGGAGAGTTTGGAAAGTTTTGGAAACGCTGGCTGAAGAAGCAGGTCTGGAATGCTATAAACTGAACTTGATGGGGGATCCTGGTCAGAGTTTGGAAAACCAGAATACCGATAGAAAAGCTGCCAGTAAAGACCAGGTTCAGAAGGTTTCAGTTGGGCAGAAAGATTCCATTGGCTGTTGGGCTCTAGACCATGTGTGTTATGCTTTGGCAGAAAATTTGACTGCATTTTGCTCTTGTCCAGAGACTTTGCCTGAGACTGAGATTAAGTGTGAAAAACTAATTATTCTGGTGAAAAAATTTCAAGGCAGTCTAATTTTGAGGTGGTGGCATAGCTACTGTTGGGAGCTTTTAGCTAGATATATGTTGAGAATCAAGAGCAAAAACCCCAACAGAATGATTAAAAAGTTTTGAGTTTGGCCAGAAAAGAAGCTCCAGTAAAGTTGCAGACTATAAAGATGGAGCAAAAGAGAACTTGGTTGCTGAGAGGGAACAGGACAATAGAAAAGATGGTCTAAGGACATCATGTGAACCAGCAGGACTCCACCCTTTGCAGCCTCAAAGTTTCAAAGGTGAAAGATTCTGTTCGACAGAAGAACCCAAGAGCACCATGTTCCAGAATGGTGGTGGCCTAGGTAAGTTGTTCCTCTGGATTCGGTTCATAGTGCTCAGCTATACAGGCGCTCAACTCCTATAGCCAAGAGAGAAGGAAACCTGGCTACTCTTCCAGCTGGAGGAAGACTTTGGCATCATCGAAATGGTGCTACTTTTAGGTGCATGCAGAATGCCAGATTTGTGGGGTTGGAAAGGCTTCCATTCAGATTTCAGAAGGCCTTGGAAGCCAGATAGTATCCCTAAGAGGGCAGTTCATGAAGCTGTGAGGCGCAGTGGAGATTACTAAAGGTTGGAGAAGCCAGGAATATGGATCACCTGAAGAAAGCTGCAAGGAGTGAGTAAATCCAGCAGAAGAGAAAAGCCATGAGAGCTACAACCACCAATAAAGTCATAGGGACAGACCCACACAAACTGTTTGGAGTTCACATCTTGCCACAGCTTGCCCCAGTTGCTGGAAATGAAACTATGGGACTTAATGTTTGCCCTGCTGGATTTTGGACTTATGTTAGTTCCATAACTTTCTATTCCCCTATTTGGAATGGGAATGTTTATCTTGTAC